CAGGCAGTGATTCCCTGTCAGGGACCATAGTGGAGGAGTCTCTGCACAACGGTCCTGCACACAGAAGAGGGGGGAGGGTAGATCACACTGAACAGATCACAATGCAACATCACCTCCTCCACAGAGATGTGAGGGGAGCTGTGTTCACCAGAGCTCCCCTCCCCCTTCACAGTGCAAGGGGACCTCTCTGTGGATCCTGATGTAAAGGGGAATTCCGATGTAAGAGGAAACACTGCGGACCTTGATGTAAAGGGGAACGCAGCTGACCATGATGTAAGGGGGGGGGGGGACTTTGGTGACCAGAGACCACATAACATCAAAAGTTCCACTTTACATCATGGTTCGCAGTGTCCCCCCTACATCAGAATTCCCCTTTCCATCAGGGTCCGCAGAGGTCCACCTTGCACTGTAAGGGGGAACCCAGCAGATTCTGATGTAAGGGAGAACTCTGAGGACTCTGATGTAAAGGAAAACTCTGAGTACTCTGATGTAAGATGAACTCTGGGGACTCTTGTGTAAGTGGGGGCTGTGGTGACCAGAGACCCCCTTACATCCTAGTTCACCTTTACATCACAGTCTGCAGTGTTTCCCTTTGCATCAAAGTTTGCAGTGTTCCCTTTACATCACAGTCTGCAGTGTTCCCTTTTACACATTTAAACATATTTATATAAAAATATTTTATCAAGAAAAAAAAGTCAGTCTTACTGTCTTTGTGGGGGGAGGGAGTGTAGCTGGCCAGCTAAGACTGGTCCTGGGTTGCTAATATGGTTCACATATATGTGTATACCAAACCTGCCAATAACCTCAGTATAGTATATATGTGTGTATGTTAAAGCCAAAAGCAGAATCATTGCTGTAATTTATGTCTTTGATTGTTATATGACATTTTATATATTCATTGTGTTAGCAGAAGCAGAAAAGGAAAATGTGCCTTTAAGAGTTAGTATAGAGCTGAGCCAATCACAGACAGCCTCACACTGTACAGAGCCTTAACCAATCCCAGCCAGTTTCACATTTGTGCCTGTGTAAAACTCCCTGCTAGATTGTTCTAGAGACACATGTTCACCAGACAGAAGAGGAAACAGACAAAGTTCCAATCAGAGAAGCTCCATGGAAGCAGAGAAGGCCAAATAGGTATTTAATACACTTGTGTGTTCCTCTATTGTTTAACAGTGCAGGTAGATCTGTGTCTAAAAACTGTTGTGTGTGTTTACTTGTAGTTCCACCGAATCTAACGAGATAATCTAACAAGATAAATTATCGATATAATCCACCGAATTAAGCCACTGTAATATGAAAGAAATAAGTCACTGTAAGATAAACGAAACAAGCCATTGTAAGCAGTTATATGAAGAAGATTGAAGTTATTAAAGAAGTTAACTAAAGTATTCGGTGTGCTCTTTAACCATTAGCCACCCGGCCAATGGCCGTTTGGCGGCTTGAAAGTTGCTTCTCCACTCTGGGTGCACGCCATTTGGTATGCTCCCGCACATGCGCCGTTTGCGCTAATGCAAAGCGGCGCAGCGGCTCGATCTGTCACCGGGCGTGTACCTCGGACATGGTACCGATGACCTACCGCTCCGTTGCAGGTACCATGTGACCTGCTGTGACCAATCACAGCAGGTCACATGACAGTTGTATACAATGGATGGCTTCATTCATGATGCCATCCATTGTATACTAGTGCCTAGCTGTGAATGGTCACAGCTAATCACATGCACATGTCATGTGATTAGCTGTGACCAAATCACAGCTAAGCACAAAAAAAAAAAAAGCTGAATGAATCCATTTCATTCAGGTAAATGCTTGCTTATAGAAAAGTATTTCTTTGCTATAAGCAAATTGTGTAAAAAAAAAAAAAAAAAATACTGATCACTTCCCCAAAGTAGTACAAAGTTACTATGGTAACATTGTACTACTTTGGTCATAGTAAAATATGAAAAAAAAATGTTAAAAAAAAAAAAAAAAAAAAAAGTAATAAAAAATTTAAAAAAAAAAAAAATAAATAAAAAAATATTTTTTTTTTCATACTGTCACCAGTCAGTGTCCCTGTTCACCGCCATGCCAGTTATATGATGACGCTGTACTGCACTGGTGACAGTATAAAAAAAAAATAGTGAAAATATTTTTTAAATTTTTTCATTTTCCGAAAAATTATGACAAAAAAAAATACAACTTCAAAAAACTCGCCATGCCTCTTATGAAGTACGTCGGACTGTCTACTCTGCAAAAAGGGGTCATTTGGGGGATATCTGTACTATTCTGACATTCTTGGACCTCAAGAAATTAGATTGGCTGTCAGTACTTCAGGATTGATCAATATTCAGATCTATACCATAGTTTGAACTCTATAACTTTCCTACAAACTAAATAATACATCCTAATTTGGGTTATTTTCACCAAAGACATGTAGCAGAATACATCTCGGCCTAAATTTATGAAGAACAATTATTTATTTGTAAATTTTTATAACGGAAACAAAGAAAAACGTGTATTTTTTTCAACATTTTTGGCCTTTTTTTGTTAATTTAGCAAAAAATAAAAACCCCAGCGGTGATTAAATACCACCAAAAGAAAGCTCTAGTAGTGTGAAGAAAATGATAAAATTTTAGTTTGGGTTCAGTGTTGTATGACTGTGCAATTGTCATTCAAAGTGTGAGAGCGCTGAAACGTGAAAAATGGCCTGGGCAGGAAGGTGTAAAATTGCACGGTATTGAAATGGTTAAACCTACTGCATCCATAGAGCGGCATTGAAGGAATTACAGAGTAAAGTCAGTCTAATCAAACAAAGAAACAGCAATTGCATAATTGTTCTAATGCCACAGCGCACAAGGCACTACCAGTGCTGCGCCTGCCACAGGGAGGGGCATTTCAGAATTCTCTGCTTATAGGCTTCTGAGATATAATCCGGCCCTGACAATAATAAACTGCGAAACAGAAAAAAAATCTAAATGTGAAAAGATTGTAAGAAAATGACAGGTAGATAAATGTTACAATAACAACTGAAAATGTGCCCTCGCTTAGAGTCCATTATGATTTCCCATGGCAAGACACCAGGCGAAGGAGGGCAGTAGGGGAAGTTCAGCGGTCGTCATGCAGGGGACAGACACGATATGATTCTATGAACAGTCACACCTCAGTATTTTCCAACCCAAGAGATTTTAAGACGGAGCTGTGAAAGCGGCACAGTGGGCAAACCTCAACCACATCCTACTTTAAATATTGTCTTTATATTATTGAGTACAGACAGTACGATGATCACAGAAGCTGCATCTACAGCCTACAGGCATACAACTAATAAAGAGAATTCTATTCTGCTTTACACAATTCACACCTTCAGAGTAAACATCTGCCATTAGAACATTTTCCACAGTGGGCGGCAATATGTTACACAGCCTGAGAATCGCATCATTCCATAATAATGTATAAGAAGCTGAACTTCAAACAAGATGATAAATACATACAGGGGCGGACTGACCATTTGGAAACTCAGGCACTGCCCGAGGGCCCGGGGTCGGTAGGGGGCCCCATGAGATGCCCCTGGTACCTTTTTCATAGGCTTTTTTGAGTTTGGGCAAGGACACAGGGGCCCCATGATCCCCTATTGCCCGGGGGCCCCATGAGTTGTCAGTCCACCCCTGAATACATAACTGAACTACATACATCAGATCTGTTTCACCTGCTAAAGTATTTATAATTTTGTGCAGTTACTTAGATTGAGACTGAGATTTACACAGATCTATCAGATGGCACAGACAGGTCAGTGACCTGACTTTTCTGTAGTGCATTCAAAGTGTTACTAAACCCACAACAGTGCAATCAGTCTGTATATGCAGTAAAGCATGCTTGTTATACTCGCTGTGGAACCTAAGGGGTTAATCCTCTGCATTGTGTAAAAAGGCTGTTTCATCCTTTCTTCTCTTCCCCTCCTCTTGTTTAAATGACCACCTGATACAGACTGAACCCTTGGGCACATGCTCAGTTTGGTGTGTATTGCTAAAAAAAGTTTTTTTTCTTTTCTTTGGGAGGGTGCATGTGATCAGCACAGGGTCAATCAGCACTGCCAAGACAGAGCTCAGGGGTTCACATCCTCCTAGAGCAGAAAGAAAACTCCTACAAGCTTTAACCAGTGCTCTGCTGAAGTCACAAGCTTCTCTAACTGCTGATGAGAAAAGGTATTTAGCCGTTTATATTTACTAAAATAATTGCACTTCCATGGGGTGTACTGTGGGAGACCAGATAGGGTCCTGGGTTTAGTAACACTTCAAGCAATACAGCCAGGTCACCTTCCCGCCTGTAATTGGACCGACTGATGATCTCATCCCTCTGCTCCTCCTTCTTCTAATCAGCATGTTTCTTATCAGCACACCTGACCGGCTTCTGGCACCACCCCTCCTACTTCAAATGTTGTCACAAAGTCAAATTCAGAAACTTACTTTTAAATTGTAAGCTCTAACAAGCAGGTCTCTCTGATTCCTCTTGTATTGAATTGTATTGTAACTGTAATGCCTGTCCTCATGTGTTTAACCATTAGCCTACCGGGCACTTATACCCCCTTCCTGCCCAGGCCAATTTTCAGCTTTCAGTGCTATCACACTCTGAATGACAATTGCGCGGTCATGCAACACTGAACCCATATGAAATTTTTATAATTTTTTTGTGACAGATAGAGCTTTCTTTTGGTGGTATTTAATCACCTCTGGGTTTTTTTTTTTTTTAAACAAACCAAAAACCACTGAAAATTTTGAAAAACAAAAAGTTTTTTCTTAATTTTTTTTATAAAATTTTGGAAATAAGTGATTTTTCTCCTTCACTGATGTGCACTAATGAGGCTGTAGTGATGGGCACTGATAGGCTGCACCGGTGGACACTGATAGGTGGCATTGATGGGCACTGATGAGGAGGCACTGGTAGGTGGCACTGATGGGCATTGACAGGCATCACTGATGGGCACTGAAAGGCAGCACTCATATATGGCACTGATAGGTGGCACTGACTGGCACTGATAGGCAGCACTGACTGACTGATGGCACTGATGGCACTGATAGGCGGCACTGACTGGCACTGATAGGCGGCACTGATTGGCACTGATAGGTGGCACTGATTGGCAGTACTGATAGGTGGCACTGACTGGCATTGATAGGTGGCACTGACTGGCACTGCTGGGTGACACTGAAAGGCAGCTCAGATGGGCACTTATATGTGGCATTGATGTACACTGTTAGGCACTGAAATGTGGCACTGATGTGGCACTGATGGGCACTGGCAGGTGGCATGGATGAGCACTGACACATGGCACTGATGGGCACTGACAGGTGGCACTGATGGGGCTACACAGATCATCAGGGCACACTGATCATCAGCGCTCTGATGATCAGTGTACATGTCTCCTCCAAGGAATGCCGATTACCGGCTCTCCTCTCCTCTGTCAGCGTGACAGCTCGTGAGGAGAGAAATGCCGATAACCGGCATTTCCCTATTTACATGTGATCAGCTGTGATTGGACACAGCTGATCACATGACCGAGCCAACATCTTCAGCTCTTTCCGGGTATCGGTGATCCGTTGTGTCTGAGGGACACAGCGCATCGCCGCGCTGCATCATATGACGCCCTCCCAGAACAAGAGAACCGCCTTGCACCCGTCATTGTACTATATGGCGGGCGGTAGGCGGTTAAGCACTGCAGCAAACTGTTATAAATTCTGTAATTTATAATAATTACAGCAGCAGTTAATTACTTACAGAAATACATTTTAGGATTTTTTAAAATTAAAGCATCACTTATTTCAATGTTCTCTTTGTTTGCCCTGGGCTTAAAGTGGTTGTAAACCACAAAGCATGTTCCTCTATAGTGTGTACTTGTCTCAACCCTGAGCACTAAGTGTAATTTCTGTTAGCTGCCCCATTCAGCATATCAGCAGGAATCACTTTTGACAAGTTTTCCTGACACCAAGAGAAAAAAAGGTGACAGGGGAGGAACCTCCAGCTGATTGACAGCCTCATCTCTATTATTGTGTTGTTGTGTGAAGGTGGATGTGTCTCTTTCCTCCAATCAGCTCTCAGAGTGCTCCTCATTGATGTTAATTCAGCTCTCAGCCCCTGCTTTTCAGAGCTGAGAAATCCTGTGTAAATTCTGCACTTTGAATGGATGTAGAGGAAAGATGGCTTTAAATAAATGGATACAACTTATATAGGAGGATTTGTTTAATCTCTGTGTATCACCTGAGGTCAGTCACTTCACTATAGGTATATGTGAAGAATTACAATCTGAACACCAGTCACCTATAAAATACACACCTTAACGCATCTCTACATTTTCTAATACATAATTAATGTATTTTTTTAATGCAAGTACCTGACTTTGACTTGTTATCAGCCTCTTGAAGTCTACTGTATAGTGGAGCACAGAGGGGGAGAGAGAAGGGACCATTCAGGTGTGTTGCAGTGCCAGGAACGTGCTGATAATTTGCTGCTTCTCCTTGCACGGTTAAGTTGTTGGATGTGGGAGTGCAGGAAACTGTAAGTGAAGGTGAAACTGCAGAATAGAAAGTTTAAGTTTCTTCTGCTGACTGTACTGTGTGGCAGAACTGTGTGAATCTCTGAATTGGACAAACGGAAATCTAAACCCTTTGGCAGGTAAAGCAGCTCCTATAAACAGTATGTCTTTCATCTATGTATTTTGCTGATTGTGTGGAGTTTAGCCATAATTGTAAAATGGCCAAAGGAACTCTAGGTACGGGACTTCCATGTTATCCCACATCTCAGCTCTCATGACTGGATCACTACTTTTCACAAGATTATCTGTGTCCAGAGAAGGTTGTCATTGATTTTGACAGGATGGCTGACTCAGTACACCTGATTTTTCCTGGTTATGTATACACAACCCTCTGCACGGAGGTTCGGGTCTATGTGTCCATGTGAATGAAGCCTAATAGCTGTATTTCAGCAGTATGAGGTCATCTAAAACACTGCTGCCTCTGACTGCTAAAGAGATTTGGAAATATCAGTGTTATGCTGCTTGTTGTTCTCCTTGCTGGAGAGGAAGCTGTATCTGAAGCCCTGCAGTACAAGGATCACCCTGCTTTTGCTTCATCCATTCTGTGGATCTGTGATTATTCCATCTCTCCTGCTACTTCTTTATCATTAACCCACCAGTCATCAGACTAGGGGATCAGCTCTGACACTAGGGCGTAAAGCTCTGTGCCTCTACTAAGCTGGTCTTCCTAACACACAATAAAGAACAAGGCATGGTAAGATAGGCAAAATCAACTGCAGGGAGTCTACAGACAATATGACTATTTCTTTGCCTGTACCTGTACATTGCTTGGCAAAGTAAAACTGCATTGTAGTTGACTATACTTGCCATTCCTCTCCACCCTGAAATGTCAACAGAGATTTGTGTGGATGTGTCAACTTCCTGAGTAAAAAGTCAACATCTGATCAGGGCTCATCAAACTCCTTCCCCTCCCATTGTGGCTGTACTGTACAGACAGAAAACGGTGCTTTAGTGATAGACATGTGTTCTTGTATATCCAGGCATGTCCGATATTTTTTGAGGGAGTTTACTAACCTAATCCTCGGTTCACATCTGTGTGGGTGGTGCCTCTGTGGGACCTGCAAAAATACCTGCCGCTGCACCACCCACACAGAGGAATGCAGGACCCGTGGGCGGGTGCCATTAGTTCTAATGGCACGCCGCCCGCACTGGAAATTGCAACTGTACTGGGAACCTCAGTTCCCGTGCGGGCTGCGATTTCCAAAGTAGTGCAGGGACTTCTTCTCTGCGTGTCCTGGGGCACGGGAATCCATTCAAATGAATGGGCTATCGTGGCTGTGCAAAACGCCTGGACAACCGCACAAATTTGAACTGGGGCTGATAGAAAATGTTTTGCAGCAAACCTGTTTCTTTGGCTATTTAGGGGAGGGGGGGCTAGATAATCTACTGGCTTCTTAATTTTGGGGATGCTTGTTGTCCTAGTTGGCCCCTTCACTGGAGTCTATCACTTCCTGTTGAATATAATCAGTGCTCTCATATCTGTGCTTTTGTCAAATAAATTAAAAATGCAAGAAGAATCAGAACCCTATGGAATTGATGTAACACGTAGGGTGAGTCTGGAACAGATCCATTTGTCTTACATCTGAATCATCTTATATACATGTGCGATGTATCCAAATTTCCAAATCACAACAAATTTCAACGAATCCAAAAAAATAAAAATAATTATTCGAAATAAAAAATACATTTTAAATTGAAACATATTGCAATAAATACAGTAAGATATAAAAGTGAAATAAGGTGCTGATTCCTACTTAGACTGCTTTATAGAATAGCATTGAAAAGAATAGAATAGAAAACTAAGGAATAGAATAGAATGAATAAAGTCATCTTCCATAATTCGAATTTTGAATTGATTAGAAAATAACAAATATACTAAACTTATCCAAATATACAAAATTAATTCCAAAAACAAATCATCGTAACATAACAAATATGACAGAATGAAATAATTAACAACGAATGAATCTGAAACAAAACATATTTTTCCGTCATGCACATTTCAAGTATCGTATAGGCAGTTGGTGTTTCAGATTCATGACATTTACTTACAACTGGTATATAGGTTGGGGTGGGCCAACCCTTTAAGCACTCTCATGTTTTCTGTAGCCTGGACACACAGCTCACCATGGTAAAACCAACTGACTTTGATGCTACAAACTGCAACAAGTTAAGAATGGGCCTCCAAAATCTGATTCAAATATGTAGAAAGACTGCCATCCAGTGATTACTGTAGGGATGTCATCCTGAAATTATCCACGGTGTTCAGAAGTTAAAGCAGAGTTCCAGCTTAAAAAATACAAAATAAAAGTCAGCCGCTACAAAAACTGTAGTGGCTGACTGTTAAAATACAGACACTTACCAGTCCCTCTATCCAGCGGTGTTCTCACCACCACTGGTTTCACCGGCCGTCTTCTCTCTCTGGCGCCGGCATCTTCAGTGTGGGCACCCGTTCTGTGACAGCTTGCGGCTTCACAGCCGGGTGCCCACTGCGCATGCGTGAAAAATGTTGCGCTTTGTGAATGGCCCCTTAATCTTCTGGGACCTGTTACGTGTCCCAGAAGACTACAGGGAGAGAGGGGTCAAATTCGGGGTACCCGTTCCCCAAAGGTGCCAATCCTTAATTGGGGGCAGGGGACAAAGGCTTAAAGCGGAACTTCTCCTTTTGGGTGGAGCTCCGCTTTAAGATAATAACTATCTAGAGTAGCGGTCACCAAACGATGGTCTGTGGATCATTGGTGGTCCGCAAGAAAATTTTGGCGGTCCACAGATTAATCTGGACATTATTTGCATTTTTTATGTTTTATTAATAATATAACAAAAATAGTATTCTAAGACATTTTTGGCTTTATATTGCACTAAATTCACGAACTGTACTAGAGAGGGGCAAACATGGGAGGCGCAGCGTGACGTCAGGGTTGTTTTAAGTTGTATGAGGCAACCGTTGCCGAGCCGTACGCTTCAGTATTCTCAGTACCGGTCTTGGCTTGAAATAAAAATGGCTCTCCATCTTGCAGGGACATCATTGGATCCAAAATCTAGAAACTTATTTCAAATAAGCAGGAACATATATCATACTAAAATTGTGGTGTAATACTTAAATAAGCTTCAATTATTTTGTTACAGTTACTTTAAAGATTTTGTTATGATTAAATAAGCATTTATAATATTGTTATATTAAATAGGTGCATTTCATATTAATAAAATGGAAGTTCTCTGATCATTATTTTACAAAAGCATTTATCTTTTTAAAAAATTAATATTAGTGGTACGCAGGATTTTAAATTCTGAATTTAGTGGTCCATGAGGTCTGAAAGGTTAAAGACCACTGATCTAGAGCAGCCTTTCCCAACCAGGGTTCCATGGAACCAGGGCCAGTGCTACACAATTTTGTGCCCTAGGCAAGACCAGCCCCCCCCCCCCCACAGAAAAGTTTTTTCAAAAAACGGTAGAAAGTATGAAATCAACAAAACATGAAACTGATACATTTCTTTTGCTTTGCAAAAATAAGTGCCAAAAGATGCCACCGGCACCAATATTAACCACATGCCGCCCAGCCACTGTAGAAATACGGTGGCAGGGTGGCATGGCTGGGCAAAACCACGTTTTAAAACGTGTGTTTTTAAAACAGGTAGGGGGCGCATGCGAGGCGCGCCGCCGCCCTACCTGTCCCGCCGATCACGGCCACGGATGTCAGTCGCCGGGTCACAGCCGGTCGTTACCGGCTATGTCCGGGCGATTAGCGGCAATCAGTGACAGAGCACAGCTGCAGTATCTGTGCTTTCTGTCAGTTCCCTGACAGCTCCTGACACGCTGATCAGGACAGAAGATTTTATCTGTCCCGATCAGCAGTGTTCCCTGCAGTACACACCCCGCCCCCTAGTAAAACACTCCCCTCACACAGTTAACCCTTTCACTGAATAATAACGTTAACCCCTTCCTCCCCAGTGCCATTAGTACAGTGTCAGTGTTTTTTTTTTGCACTGATCACTGTATTGGTGTCACTGGGGATGTCAGTGACCCCTAGTCAGTTCCCCCCCAGT